TTATAACTTATAGTTTTGGAAAAATTATTTTGAACTGTTTGGTGAAACTTATTTTAAACAGCTCTTGATTCTAATAACTTATTTTAACTCAAAAAAATTGATTCTGAGAAGCTGCTCACCCATTGCTTCTAATTATCAGCTTTTGCTGTGGATATATTAATTTACGGTTATATTCTTAAATTTTTATTTATTTTTATTTATTTTTAAATAAAAAAAGACCCAAATGGACTATAGATTATTAATATATATATTTTTTTATGAGAAATGTAAACAATTAGTGAATAATAAAAAATAAAAGTTAATTAAAAAAACTACTTCACAACTTATTTAATAAACACTACTCAGCAACTTAAATCTATAATCCAACAGTTACATCAAACAAATTAACAACTTTTTATTAAAGTCATAATCTATAATCTATTAAATTATAATTTATAATTTATTTCAACAATTACACAAAATGGGACCATAAGCGGAAAATTTCTACACTAGGCTCCAACAAGGCCATGTGGGCTCAAGTTGAAAGACTAGACTCTCACTCCTCCGTCGTTCGGACCTGGGGTTGCTGTTGTGACTAAGTCACAGCAGCGATTTGCTGTGAGTTTATGGGGCCTTTTTTTGAGTCTTTTTCGATGAGCCAAACCGTTATATTATAAGGTTCGTTGAGTATATTATTCATGCAAAAAATCAAGTTAATCAAAAATCCGTAACCGCATGATCATATTCAAATTGTTTTACAAAAATTATCAAGATAATGTCAACCGTTTATTTTTTTAAAAACAAATGTACTTTTGTTATAAAGTTATAGATTTCTAATCAATTTGATTTTTTGCATGGATGATCTATTTAACATAACCTACAATATAAACAGGTTCAGATCACCAAAAAAGACTCTAAAAAAATCCTCCACGAAAGCACAACACATTGTTGCTGTGACTTAGTCACAGCAGCACCCTCGGTTCCCGTCGTTCACATACACTATCAATTATTTATTATTTTTTTATGAATAATATTATATGTATCAATTAGTGTACTAACTAATGTATCAATTGATAATGTGACATGATTTAAGAAGTTTTTAGTATTTGTAATTTGTATAATGAGTGGGGTTAATAATAATGTCATAACTAATATTGATACACTAATTAATTTTTTATTTATTTTTTAAGTACTAACATTCAAAGAAGAATAATTCTATACATAATAACACTCCTACAAAAGAACTTAATAAAAATATAAATAATTAGATATAACTAGTTTTAAAAATAATAATATTCAAATCTTTAATAATATTTAAAAATAAGTCTAAGCCTACGAATACTATGATGATACTCATAGCATCATTTCTCCTTGTACACCATAATATTATTAATAATAATATTAAAAATGAATATTTGTTGTAGAATTGCTATTAAGTAAGTAGGTGTTTGACATGCATTAAAAAAAAATATTTTTTTTTTCATATATACACTTATTTGGGTCACATCAGTCAATATCTATTAACATCACATCTCTATTTTTCTATTCACTTTCTTTATTTTTCCACACATTTTTTTTTATTTATAAAAAGTCAAAAGTATACTTATTTAGGCGGTGTTTGGGAAGGATTTTCTTAGATTTTTTTGGTTAGTTTTTTGTTAAAAGACAAATTGGTTAAAAAACCAAAAAAAAAATAAATCCAAACAAAATATCATATCAAATCCCATAATCATTTCACTATTTCTTTCACAAACATTACATCCAACCACAAAAAAATCTAATTATCTTTCCAAACACAAAAAATTTTTTCTCCAATAATATTCTATAACTAAAAAAACTTGTAAAAAAATCAACTTCCCAAACACACTTAGAATATTTCAAACCATCCCTAAAATCTCTAGGCTCTCACATGGCCACGTGGCAGACGACTTGAAAGACTAGACTATTGCTCCTCCGTCCTTCGCGGAAGTGCTTCACTACTCATTACTCAAACTCAATTATTCAAAGAATAAAGATTGAGACCTCTTTTCTTCCACACCTTTTTTGATCCCTCTCTTTTTGATTGGTCGATTTTTTTTTTTTTCTTCTCCTTCAATCATCACTCGCCATTTATATGTGAAGATGGTGGAGATTGAAGTTTGAAGAGATCTAAATCACTGCTGTTATTAAAAAATTATATAAAATTATATTTGGTGTTTTTATTTTTTGGCCAAATTTATAAACTGAGATCACTGATTTTTAAATCAAAAATTTTACCAAACCAGTTTTTATTTGAGTTTTTTAAATTTTTGTAAATATAAACAGAAAACTGAAAACGTAAGTGTTACCAAACGGCACGTTAGTGTCTGTATAGTTTGATTTTTAAAAAATTATATTTAGATGAGTTTTGTTTATTTTTAGTAATTATTTTTTAATATTTTAATCAATTCTTTGTATTTTTAAGATACGCTCAATCAAGATGAATATAAAAAAGCAAAATAAATTGGCTAAAATATTTTAAAAAATTACTAAAAATAGATAAAAATTTAAATAAAAATCTGTGTACATTTTTATTTGGGTTTTCATTTGTTTTTAGTATTTCTTTTCATATTTTAGTTAATTTTTTTTAAAACTTTTTAGATGCATCTAATCTTTATGTATCTACACACACAGACTAAAATATGAAAAAAGTTTAGGAGTAAATTACACCATGCACCTCTACACTTAGCACCAAAAAGTACTTTGGTCTCTATATATGGAATCGTGACAGTCAATCTCGTACACTTTTGGTCAAATCTCATTTTGGTTCCTACATATAAAATCATGACAATCAACCTCTTATACTTATGGTCAAGTATTAGTTTGCCCTTTTGTTACTCCATTGTTTATGTTTTTAACATAACCTAGTCATGTGACAAACATATGATTACGAAATGAGGGTAAGAGAAGAAAATAATCTATATTTTCCACGAATATACACTTTGTCCCATGTGATAAGTATGTGAGAGTTAGAAAATACAATACATATATATATATATATACATATGTTCATATGCTGAAAATTGAGACGAAGAGGTAGGAAAATAAAACTTTTGGAAAAAAAAAAAAAAGGAGCAAAAAAATCAAAGAGAAATGAAGAAGAATATACAGACATCTGTGTTACTGTGGAAAACAAAATTTTATGATTCTAATTTTTGCAAAACCCTAGTTCATCTCCTTAATCATTCACAATTTGTTTTAACTGAATATAGTTAAAATTTGGGAAGAAAAATGTGTATAGATGGGAAATTTGAGTAATTTTCCTAACCCTCATTTTGTAATATATGCTTATTACATTACTGACTTCTATTAAAAATTTATATGATGAAGTAAGAACACTTGACTAGAAGTGCATAAAGTTGATTGTCATGATTTCATAAGTGCAGGGGGTTAACTATCACAATTTCATGTGTAAGGATCAAAGTGAGATTTCACCAGAAGTGTAAGGGGTTGATTGTCACGATTTCATATGTAAAGACCAAATTGAGATTTGGTACAAAATGCAATGGTGCAAAAGATAATTTATTCAAAATTTAGTAAAGACAAATGAAAATTGATTTTAAAATAATTTCTAAAAATTGTAACCAAATATTTTGTGTTTTTTGTGAACCTAACTTTTCAAGGAAAGAAAATTTAATGCTATGTGGTCATATAAAAATATATAAAAGCGTATACAAAATTTTAATGTTTTAATTATATTAGTTATGTCTGTTTTTTAATTATGAATTTGGGTAAACTTTGAAAAGAGAAGGAAATATGTGAAAGCTTTTTATTACAGGTATGCCACATGCACTGCAAAAAAAGAAAAAGAAAAATTGCACGGAAATTTAATTTAATTTTTTGAACTTCAAAAAAGGACGCTTGGTGGGGTATCATAGTATTCGTAGGCTTTGATCCCTGGGTAACCAATTGTTGGTCAGATTTAATCCAACCCAAAGAAATGGGCCAACTACTGGGGTAAGAGAGAAATACACCAATCCCCAGCACAAGAGGTAGAGTCACGATCGGAGTATAGTGTAATCAGCTTCACCGTTTGAAAAGTGGCATTACAAAAAATTAAGATTTTAGAAACTAAAATTTAGGGACCAAATAATTTGTTGCGAAAAGTGTCATTATATTTTTAGCAACAAAAATTGGACATTAGTGATGAATTATTATCCTTTTGGGACCAAATTTTTTGTCTAAAAAAATAAACCATTTTGAGACCAAATTATTTGTCCCTAAAAGTCTATTTATTAGTGATATTTTCAAAAATTTGTCACTAAAAACCTTATTTTTGATCTTTTAACGACTATCCTCATGACGATAGAAATTGGCCCCTAAATGTCTTTTGTAACAAAATTTTCACTTATATGTTGTAGTGTGGGCTACTAGTCGTGCCCCAGGAGTCCAGCTCCATTCAATTGTGCAGAAGGAAGGCACCTTTCCATCCCACCACCACCTCCGTTGGTCATGGAAAATTAATTTGTGAACAATATTCATTATAGAAAGTCTAAATGCCTAGAAAAATTATACAATAATTTTACCCATATTGTAACTGTGTGGTAGAGATTGAATTGGTATTTTTTTTATCTATGTATAGAATGAATTTTGACCTTCCATTGATATTTCTATTAACTTCTTGGTAAATTTTTTTAATGTTTCTGTATTCATTGGTGAGATGACATCTAAATGAATTTTAACCTTCATAGTCATTTTTTGGGTGTCCAATTTGCTGGCTTTTTTGATAACTTGGGATCCCGCCCATTAAACGCGACTAATCCGGGGGATCTAATTTGCAGTCTTTACCAAGTATTTGAAATAGACCGTCACAGTTGGATGACTTTAGAGGACTTAGCAAGCATGACTTTCATACAATTATTATCAGATTGCAAGTCTTTCCAAGAATGCAAATATTTATTGATTGTTAAATTTGAGAATCTTTCTTATTGTATCAAATACACTTGAGCTGTGACTGCACTGCATATTATTAAAAGAATTAATAGAATAATCTTGCAGTCAATATGTTTAAGTTGTTGAGTGAACTTCGATCATTTGTCTCCACTGTTGCTATCATTGTGTGTGTGTGCATGTCTTTGTTGAATAAAGCTTCCCAAAAAACAGCCTTGGTTGCCGCCGCCACCACCACTACCATCACTACCACCACACTTGCTGGAAATGATACTGATTACTTAGCCTTGCTTTCCATCAAGGCTCAAATAACTAATGATCCAATGCTAGTCACAAGCTCATGGAATGATTCTCTCCATTTCTGCCTGTGGGAAGGTGTTTTATGTGGGCATCGCCATCAAAGGGTCACTGGCTTGAGTTTAGAGTCGCGCAATTTAGAAGGTTCTATATCTCCTTCCATTGGAAACCTTAGTTTTCTCAAAATTGTTGATGTCTCAAACAACAACTTTCAAGGTGAAATTCCTCATGAAATGGGCAGGCTATTCAGGCTGCAAGTTCTAAACTTGACCCATAACTTGTTGGGAGGACAAATTCCAGCAAACCTCTCAAGCTGCAACAACTTGAGGAGGCTCGGTTTAGGTTACAACAAGTTCATAGGAAATCTTCCTATTGAGCTTGGTTCATTGAACCAATTGGTGCAACTTTATATGAACTCCAACAATTTGAGTGGAGCAATCCCACCTTCTTTTGGGAACCTTTCCTCTCTCAAACTTTTCTCCGTATCAGAGAACATGTTGGAGGGAAGTATTCCGGACTCACTAGGTAGCCTGAAAAGCTTGACATATCTTTCATTCTCCTCAAATAAAATATCAGGTATGATTCCTCCATCTATCTATAATATCTCATCATTGACAGCTTTGGAGGCACGAGTAAATCTACTTGAAGGAAGTCTTCCTCAAAATTTAGGCCTCACTTTGCCAAATATTAAAAGGGTTAATATTGCGAAAAACCACTTAAGTGGATCAATTCCACTTTCAATATCAAATGCTTCAAAACTTGAACACCTTGTCTTGTCAATGAACAAACTTTATCCTGGAGTGGCTGTTGATTTTGGAAATTTAAAGAATCTCTTGTGGCTAAGTTTATTTGAGGATGGTTTGGGAACTGAGGATGCTAATGACCTTAATTTCATCTTGACTTTGGTCAATTGTAGCAAATTGAGGATATTAAGTTTAGACGCCAATAATTTTGGAGGTGTTTTGCCCAATTCTTTAGTGAACCTCTCAACCCAACTTCAGACTTTATCAGTGTCAGGAAACCAGATATCTGGAAACATTCCAGTAGACTTTGGAAATCTTGTGAGCTTAAATGCTGTAGATATGAGCTATAATCGATTGACAGGAACTATTCCAACCTCTATCGGTAAACTTCATAAGATTCAAGAACTGGGTTTTGGTAAAAACAAATTGTCTGGGGAAATACCTTCCTCCATTGGAAATTGGACATTGGCGAACCAACTTTGGTTAGAAGAAAATGATTTTCAGGGAAACATACCATCAAGTCTTGGAAATTGCATAGATTTGATACTACTGCATCTTTATGGTAACAATCTGTCTGGTAGCATACCTCAAGAAGTAATTGGTATCTCATCTTTATCAAAATCTCTGGACTTGTCTCGAAACTCTCTAACTGGTCCCATTCCTCCAGAAGTCGGTAGCTTGAAAACTCTCGTTGAACTAAATCTTTCTTATAACAAGTTATCTGGTAAAATTCCTAGCACCCTAGGTAGTTGTGATACTTTGGAATACCTTTTTTTGGACAACAATTCATTAGGAGGAGCCATTCCACAATCTTTGAGTTCTCTAAAGGCCATTGAAGAATTAGGTCTCTCACACAATAACCTCTCGGGTGAAATTCCAATTTTTTTTTAAAAGTTTCCCTTTTTAAGGAATTTAAACCTTTCTTTCAATGATCTAGAGGGAGAGGTACCAGTAAAGGGAGTGTTCCAAAATGCAACTGCAATTTCAATTTTGGGAAATAAAAAGCTCTGTGGGGGTATACCTGCACTACAATTGCCAACATGCACTTCTAAAAAACCAAGAAAGTTAATTATTCCCATAGTTTTTGGGGTTTTGGGTATTATTTTGGCATCATCTGTTTTAATCCTTTATTGTCTTAGAAAGATGAGAAAACAATCTCTTGTGGCATCTTTTTTGATGGATTCATTTGGGAATATCTCATACGGAGATCTCCTCAAAGCAACGAATGGGTTCTCTTCAGACAACTTGATTGGTATAGGAAGCTTTGGTTCAGTATACAAAGGAATTTTTCATCCAAATGAAAAGACTATTGCAGTGAAGGTACTCGACCAACAAAATATAGGAGCTTCAAAAAGTTTTCGGGCTGAATGCAAAGCTTTAAAAAACATTAGGCATCGAAACCTCATCAAGATTAAAAGTGCTTGTGCAAGTGTTGATTTTCAAGGTAATGACTTCAAAGCCCTTATATATGAGTTCATGGAAAATGGGAGCCTTGAAAGTTGGTTGCATCCAGTTTCACAAACAGGTACTACCCATGAGCAACCAAAATGTTTAAACCTTCTTCAACGATTAGGTATAGCAATTGATGTGGCTTCTGCTTTGGATTATCTTCACAACCATTGCCATGTCCTAATCATACATTGTGATATAAAGCCAAGCAACATTCTTCTTGACAGTGATATGACTGCCCATGTCGGTGATTTTGGTTTAGCAAGGCTCCTACAAAATCGCAACAATGAAGTTTCTCATAGCCAAAATAGCTCTGTTGGTATAAAAGGAACCATTGGATATGCAGCACCAGGTAATCTACCATAGGAGAAAATATTGTGTGACTGGTAAGCTAAGGTGGTGTACAAGTCCTCCTAAAACCACCACCTTAGTGTACCAATTAGACAAATATTATCTCGATGTATTTATATATGTGTATTTGTAGGTATAAATTAATGTTGTGTTAGTTTTGGAAGAAATTCTTTTTGGAAAATATATATATATATATATTGCATTTTTTGATGTTTGGTTGAATGAAAAGCGAAAATCAATAGTAAATATTTTTTGTGGTTAATAGAAACAAAATTATTTAGACGGAAAAATTCTCAATGTTTGAAAGCTGAAAAACATTTTCTAGATGACGCCGCTACACTACTACCACCACCACTATTATAACCATGACCACCCTACTGCCATCGTTGGCTTACCACCACCACCATCAAACCACCACTCTCAATACTAGAACCACTACTTCTAGCACATTACTTTGAAGGTCAATCAAACAAAATATTTCCATTTGTAAAACATTTACTGTGGAAAATATTTTTCATCGAAATAAACAATGTATAAGAGTGAACATAAAATGTATTATGCGTGTATTGCAGAATATGGCACAGGGAGCATGGTGTCCACTGGTGGGGATGTATACAGCTATGGAATCCTCTTATTAGAATTGTTCACAGGAAAAAGACCCACTGATGGCATGTTTAAAGATGGCTTGACCCTTCACATGTTAGCTAAGTTAGCTCTTCCAGAAAGAGTGATGGAGATTGTTGATGAGAAACTTGTACCAGTGGTAGAAGAGGAGGAAACAGCCAGCAAAAATTCTAGGAGAGAAATGGGAAGGGGAAAATTCCTTGAGTGCTTAATTTTGATACTTAGGGTTGGAGTTGCGTGCTCTGTGGAATCCCCACGAGAACGGATGACCATTGTTGATGCAGCTAAGGAACTACATTTAGTTAAGGACATGCTACTTGGGAGAAGGATTTCAAGCAATGTGCAAATAGCTTCAAAGGGGTAATTCAGGTACTCTCTTTCGGTGTTGTTATGTAGTTTCAAGGAAAAGTCTAAGAATATAGAAAGTTTCAAATATTTTTTTATCTTACATTGGTGTATACTGTGTTCGGAACTTTACGTGTTCCTAGCACAACCCTCGTTTAAATTTTCCGTTTAACTTATGTTAGTTGCCTAGAAATGAAATACTGAAAATTCCACAGAAGGTGGAGCTCACATGTTGGGCACACCCTTTTGTTTTTGTTTTGTTTTTTGTGAAACTTTGTGTTCCATTTTTTGTGTAATAAATAAGCTTTTGATTTTCCTTTCTTGTCTGATTAATTAATTAATATATCACTTTGGTTTAGCTATGAGTACTATCACTACGCTGAATAATTAATCACTCGTCAAACACCTATATTCAAATCAAGCCATTCAAATTGTAGAAATTGTAAAAGCTCTATGAAGTGTCAGAAATTTCCCCTGAAGTAACCGTCTCTCTTTAGTTTTACCAGAAACACGTTTTCAGATATTCAAATCTCATACCAGTTGATCAAACACAGCCAAAACAGAACAGACTTAACAAATAAACAATATATGATCAAAGCTTCAACAGACCCATGTCTCAATCTTATGCCTTCTCTTCCCTCCAAGTTCTTGCCACAGTTGAGAAGGACAAGCAGTTCAATTTGCTCTAAAAATGTTCGATTCTGGAGACTTGGCCGTGGCAAATTGCCCATCTTTCTCTCCACCATCTCCGCCGCCACAATCTACTCGATCATCATTTCTTCCAATAGTTCCATCTCCAATCTCTCACTCCATACCACTCATGTCAACCCACAAAAATTGATGTCAAGCTATTCAACCCAAGTTGTTTAATTTATTATTCTGTTTTATTTGTTTATTTAAATCAGATTTTAATTTTGTTTTGGTAACAAAATAAAATCTGCTTTTTATTTATTTATTTTTATTTCGAGTTTGATTTTTGTAATCAAACAATTTCTCTCCTTTTCTTTATTTCTTTAAATTCTATTTGTTGTTGTGTACACAATAGAATTAAATCTTTTTAAATACAGTGAAGATTGTCCAACATTCACTTGGACACGGATTTCATAACATTGAAGGACTTTTCTAGGTTGAGGAATTCAATCGAAGAGCAGAGCATTGATGCCACTGGGAGAATGGAAACAGGACGGGATAGTACACATTTAAATTTCACTGTTTTGCCACCCATGGCGTTTTATCCGGGATAGTACACATTTAAATTTCACTGTTGTAGAAGAGGTAAGTGTTGTAGGGAGATTGATCGAGGATAATTGTGTCATTTGCAAGCAATTTCTAGAGAGCAGTTTAAGAATTTGCTTCTCCCACCATATATTATATAGATTTTTCTTTTAGATTGTGTATATTAACATAATAAAGGATTCAAAACTCTTTTCCAACGTTGATGATGTGTTTGGTTCATGATTTTGGGTATAAATTTTGAAAGGAAAATGAAAAGGTGTGTGAAATTAGGTAAAATGTAATTATATTTTATTTATATTTCACAGATCTTTTTCATTTCCTATTCCAAATTCTTACCCAAATTTATGAATCAAACATTACATAAAAAATAAAATAAAATAAAATAACATAAAGATGGGTATATATTTTCCATACTGAAAATTTTGAATTAATATTATTTTTTAAAATTGTGTACTATAAACTTTTATCACACATGTCTTTCTATATGATAATGATTGAAATTTATTTTAATTGATATCTCAAAAATTAGTTATAGAGTCAAAGAAAATGTGTAGGTCTTAAAATTTTAAAGTAAAAATTTTATGTTACAATTTGTTTAAATGTAATTCTCTTAATATTTTTTTTATTGATTGATAAAAAGTACCATAAATATTAAGATTATTTATTTATTTTTATGATATTGAGTTATTGAAGTATGATGTATTACAACTTAAACCAAGAATTGTTGGGAAAATTTTTTTTGACTCGAACCAGATTTTCTAAATTAATTTTTAATATTTAATCCAATATTAGAACCTTCAAGCTAACTCATATCGGTCACGAATAGATAAGGATAATTTTTAACGATTAGGTGAGGTCACATTAGCATAATTATTGAGTCGAGTAGTTTCTAGGTCACTTCTAATGTATAGTCCAACAAAAACAAGTCAATTCTAATCAATTTTCATAATTTTGAGTAGACAAATTTTCAGGTTTTACAAAATAAGAACAAATTAATATATTAACGAATGTAATTTATTACAATTATATGGTAAATTAAAATTATGAAAATTACAAAACAAAACGTATTTATATTTTATAGTAAATATAATTTTTATAATTTATTCTTTAATTTTCATCAATTAAATTATGACATGCATTTTTTTATTAACAACTTAGAATACATAGTTAATGACATCAAAATAAAAATCTTCTCCTATGTGTAACTCTAATAAAAATGAATAAAATTTAATTGATTATAAATAATTTTTACTACATAATTTAAATAAATTTTGTATTATTATTTTATGAATAAAATTTAATTGATTATAAATAATTTTTACTACATAATTTAAATAAATTTTGTATTATTATTTTAATTTAAAAACTAATTTTTAAGTATTTATTTATACACATGTATAGCATGGGTAATATGCTAGTTTCTGTTAAGAAAATAGATAGAAATCAATGGTAAAATAATACATTTGAAAGGAAATGAATTAGGGCACTCGGTCCATAAATCTATTTTCAGAATTTCTTTGCCCAAAAGCTTGGACATTACAAAATGACCAAAACACCCCTATATATATCACATACATAGCATAAATCTCCCTCTCTCTCTCTCCAAACCTTAGCTCTTAGGATTAGGTATAGCGTTATCCGAACCGCACAACCTGTCCAACCCAAACCGATCGACATACAAATGGGCGGTGTCGAAGACACAATGCGGGCAGATGCAATTTGAAATATGACATTATTGCGGGTTACGGGTTTTACCCACACCCGTAAGAACCCGCCCGCACTTAAACTTTTTTTTATTATTATTTTTTATGATGGAGTTTGCGAGTTTACAAATATTTTTATTTTATTTAATGGATTTGAATTGGCTAAATTTTGACAACAATTTATTGTTATTTTATTATTGTATTTTAGATAAATGTAAAAGTTAATGAAGAATTATTTTTAGGTAAATCTAGGATTTTGAATGATTTTACTTTAATTGTATTGTTGGGTAGTGAATGATTTTGATGATTTAGTTTAAGATTTTGAAAGATGTGCTCTTATTAGTTTATGATTTTATTTAAAAGTTTAGGATTTTGAATAATTTGCTTATGTTAAGAATTGATTTTGTTGTGTTTTTAATTTTATAAGTTTTAATTTGTTAATTATTAATGTTAAGCATTTTAAAAAATTGAAGGAAAATGACCCAAAATAAATATTTACAAAATGGGAAAAAAATGCCCAAAAATAAATTTTTAAAGAAAAAAGTCCAATCCGCAAACCGCCTACACATCCATGAACCCTATCCGCACAAACCGCAACCCGCACTACGAGCGGTTGTGGGTTTAAATTTTTCCAAACCGCACATATGCAAGGAGATCCAAACCGCAAATTGAATTGTCCAAAACTAAACCGCAAGCGCCCCTAATAGCTCTCTTTCTCTTCTTCATCCTTGCCTTCGACTAGCTCCGTCATTGTCGATTTCCTCCATCGCCGCCTCTTCATCTTCGTTGAGGTAGGGATGGCAATGGGGGTTAATGGGGTGGATAGTAATTCCCCATCCCCGTTCCCCTATAATAAATTTTCTCCATTCCCCATTCTCCATGGGTACCACCCTCCCCATTTCTTAATGGGTTTAGATTTTCCCCAACCCACTTTAATCCCCATTTTTATTTTATTTTTATTTTTTATGTACTCACCTTCCTTCTCACTTGGAAAAGAAAAATGAGATTGAGAATGTTTCCACAACAAACATTTTGCACCAGAATTTAATCATCAATTTAAGTGATGTACTCACCTTCCTTCTCACTTGGAAAAGAAAAATGAGATTGAGAATGTTTCCACAACAAACATTTTGCACCAGAATTTAATCATCAATTTAAGTGATGTACTCACCTTCCTTCTCACTTGGAAAAGAAAAATGAGATTGAGAATGTTTCCACAACAAACATTTTGCACCAGAATTTAATCATCAATTTAAGTGATGTACTCACCTTCCTTCTCACTTGGAAAAGAAAAATGAGATTGAGAATGTTTCCACAACAAACATTTTGCACCAGAATTTAATCATCAATTTAAGTGATGTACTCACCTTCCTTCTCACTTGGAAAAGAAAAATGAGATTGAGAATGTTTCCACAACAAACATTTTGCACCAGAATTTAATCATCAATTTAAGTGATGTACTCACCTTCCTTCTCACTTGGAAAAGAAAAATGAGATTGAGAATGTTTCCACAACAAACATTTTGCACCAGAATTTAATCATCAATTTAAGTGATGTACTCACCTTCCTTCTCACTTGGAAAAGAAAAATGAGATTGAGAATGTTTCCACAACAAACATTTTGCACCAGAATTTAATCATCAATTTAAGTGATGTACTCACCTTCCTTCTCACTTGGAAAAGAAAAATGAGATTGAGAATGTTTCCACAACAAACATTTTGCACCAGAATTTAATCATCAATTTAAGTGATGTACTCACCTTCCTTCTCACTTGGAAAAGAAAAATGAGATTGAGAATGTTTCCACAACAAACATTTTGCACCAGAATTTAATCATCAATTTAAGTGATGTACTCACCTTCCTTCTCACTTGGAAAAGAAAAATGAGATTGAGAATGTTTCCACAACAAACATTTTGCACCAGAATTTAATCATCAATTTAAGTGATGTACTCACCTTCCTTCTCACTTGGAAAAGAAAAATGAGATTGAGAATGTTTCCACAACAAACATTTTGCACCAGAATTTAATCATCAATTTAAGTGATGTACTCACCTTCCTTCTCACTTGGAAAAGAAAAATGAGATTGAGAATGTTTCCACAACAAACATTTTGCACCAGAATTTAATCATCAATTTAAGTGATGTACTCACCTTCCTTCTCACTTGGAAAAGAAAAATGAGATTGAGAATGTTTCCACAACAAACATTTTGCACCAGAATTTAATCATCAATTTAAGTGATGTACTCACCTTCCTTCTCACTTGGAAAAGAAAAATGAGATTGAGAATGTTTCCACAACAAACATTTTGCACCAGAATTTAATCATCAATTTAAGTGATGTACTCACCTTCCTTCTCACTTGGAAAAGAAAAATGAGATTGAGAATGTTTCCACAACAAACATTTTGCACCAGAATTTAATCATCAATTTAAGTGATGTACTCACCTTCCTTCTCACTTGGAAAAGAAAAATGAGATTGAGAATGTTTCCACAACAAACATTTTGCACCAGAATTTAATCATCAATTTAAGTGATGTACTCACCTTCCTTCTCACTTGGAAAAGGAAAAGCACCAGAATGTTTCCATAACAAACATTCTGCACCAAAATTTAAGTGAAGTACTCACCCCTCATCAAAATGTTTTCCCAATTTTGTCTCAGTTCGCCATCGCGCTGCTCCGCCATCTCTTTCGTCTCTCAGTTCCTCTCTCAGTTCGCGTTCGTTTCTCCGTCACTCTCTTAGTTCCTCACCTGCCTCTCGCGATGCCTCTCTCTCTCTGTGTGCTAGGGTTCATTGCCTCAGATCGATGGTGCAAAGAGATAATACAGAGAAGAGAGAAGGGGGGGAATGAACATTTTGAAATTTAAAAAAAAAAAAAAAAGGGTCAAAAGGGGGTCACAATCTTTATTCTTTCAAATGTATAAAACATAATTTGATTTGACCCCCAACCTAACTTTGCCCATATAAGCCATTGATGTTGAGTCCAGATCCTCTGCCATACATTCCTGCAGTGGCCCCTGCGGTGGTTCAAAACGACGTCGTTTTGAACCTCTTTTTTTTTTTTCTCTGTTCTTATATTTCAGCCTCCTTTTGTTTTGTGTGGTCTTTCAACCCTAGCCCCCCTCTCAGTGAGATGAACAGAGGCAATGAACGGGGAGAGGCCGACGTGACTCCTACAGCGAGGCGACGGAGGCGAGGAGAGGAGAGACAGCGGTGAGGCGAGGGGCAGCGGTGAGGCGAGAGGCAGTGGCAGGAGACAGACAGAGAGGGGGAGGCGACGGCGACGAGGTCTGGAGAGGTCTGGTCTTCATTCTCATTTTATATATATATATATATATATGATTTGATTTGTGGAACCAGATTTGTTGTTTGTTGTTCAGTTGAATTTTTTTTCAATTTTTTTTTTTTTGTTTCATCAATTTAAGTGATGTACTCACCTTCCTTCTCACTTGGAAAAGGAAAAGCACCAGAATGTTTCCATAACAAACATTCTGCACCAAAATTTAAGTGAAGTACTCACCCCTCATCAAAATGTTTTCCCAATTTTGTCTCAGTTCGCCATCGCGCTGCTCCGCCATCTCTTTCGTCTCTCAGTTCCTCTCTCAGTTCGCGTTCGTTTCTCCGTCACTCTCTTAGTTCCTCACCTGCCTCTCGCGATGCCTCTCTCTCTCTGTGTGCTAGGGTTCATTGCCTCAGATCGATGGTGCAAAGAGATAATACAGAGAAGAGAGAAGGGGGGGAATGAACATTTTGAAATTTAAAAAAAAAAAAAAAAGAAAACAAAAACCTGAATAAATAAATAAATAAATAAAAGAAAAAAGATTGAATGTATAATTAGTTTTGGTGTGAATCTTAAAAAAAAAAAAAAAAGTTGCTTGTGAACCTAAATAAATAAATAAATAAATAAAAAGATTGAATGTATAATTAGTTTTGGTTGTGAATCTTAAAAAAAGAAAAAAAGAAAAAAAAAATTAGTTGTGAACCTTAATAAATAAATAAAAGAAAAAAGATTGAATGCATAATTAGTTTTGGTTGTAAATCTTAAAATATATATATATATATATATAGTGGGTACCCATCCTCAACTCATTTCCTGTGGATATTTAAAGAATATCATTTACCCTACCCAATGGATAAGAAAAAAAAGGAAAAAACCCATGTATTAAAGAAAAAAAAAAAACCAATATATTTGGGTTGGGTCTCGATAAATATCACAGTGTAGGTTATCCATTACCATCCCTATTGAGGACCAGCTCCGTCGCCGCTATTTGTGTGGGATATCATCACCCCATGTGAGGGGTGATCCTCCATGTGTTGCAAGGTTGGCCATGTTAGGAAGCCAACACACATGAGCTGGCCATGTGAAGCCAGCACACAAGATAGCTGGCCATATGCAAGGCCAGCCTCTCCATCTCCATTCTGATTGAGTATAAATGGAGGGTAAGGGGAGGGTTTGAGAGAGAGCAGAGCAAGCCACAGAGAGTGAGATATGTGAGGCGGAGAGACCGTCTCCCTCGGTGTGAGCGAGGGAGACGGGTGAGTGGGTGAGTGAGGAGAGTGTGAGCTCCTCCTCTATTGTAATCTTTCTGTAATATTTCCATTGTTATAGTGATAACCGGCTACTCTCCCGTGGACGTAGGCATTGAGGCCGAACCACGTTAAATATTGTGTCTCCTTGAGTGTGGGTGTGTTTTTCTGCATTAAATAATTTCTATAAGGTCTTCGGCGGGATCCCAGATCCCAACAATTGGTATCAGAGCTCGGGTTGCGAAAAATCGAATTTTTCCCGAAAGTGCCCAGATTTCGAAGTGCTCAAAATCTACTTTTGACCATACCAGGAGGAAGAACTCCCCGAGAGGAGTCCAGAACAGCAAAAACAGAGCCCAGAAAAGCCTCGACGCGCCCTCACGCGCCCTTGGAATTTGGCGCGTGAGTCCCAGTCACGGCACGCGCCCACACGCGCCGTGCAGGCACCGGCGCGTGATCCCAATCTCATCCACGCGCCACACGCGCGTCTCCAGGAAGAAGACGTGCCATGTGGTCGCCACGTCATCGTCCAATCATCGCCACGTGGCAGACACGTCGTCGCCACGTCATCACTCTGAAGAAAGATCCAGTGCTACGCGGCAATGGGGCAGTTGCAGGAGGAAGGATCCAGTGCTTTGCGGCGAAGGTACAGCCGCAGATCTGAGGCGTACAAAATGTTTTGGCTAGATCGAAGCCAATTGGAGTCCGTTTTTGGTGATCCAATAGTGGTTTTCGACTATTTGGAGTATTCCGGACACATCTGTACGGTCAGATTTTGGAAACGGAGTTTCTGTAAAAAGAAGGCAGATTAAAGAGACGAACGGCATCAGGTGCAGTGGACGGAATATTCTGTTAGTACACGGAATATTTCCTGAACTTCTGAAAATTGCAATTTGGCCCAGAATTTTCAAAAAATTGTGGTGTGGCCCAGCTTTCGGGGATAGTTTTCAGTGAGGTCCCCGAAAATGCAGCGAAGGTTGGTTCTAGCTAAACGGACCGCTCCGGACGCAACCGCGAGGTCAGAATAGTGAAATTCCGAACGATTTTGAAAGATTGCCAAAACATGGGAGTTTGTTATCTTCAATAGTCGAAGAAAGGTTGCCGGATATTGTGGAACGCTGCGGATTTACTGAATAGGTTAGAATGGGCAGATTCTGACCAGATTAGACAACCAGATACAAATTGAGATATATTATTGAAGACCAGAAGAGATCAGGCTTGATTAAATGGCAGATCGAGGGAGATCAAGATTGGTCAGGGGAGATCAGAGGATTGCAGAAATGATTATCTCCGGAGTTCGTTGGAGGATCTGGTTCAATCAAAAGAGAAGACCATTCATCGACGGATAGATGATTTGGCAACCAGTACAGGCTCAGGAAAATATTGTGGCTGTTGGAGCTACTGTATACGAGAAGGTACTAATGGTATGTGGACATGTAGAACAATAGTTGCAGAGGAGCATACTAAGCGCAGAAGTACAATTGCAGACGTGCAACAGTACAAGGGTACGCTAGAGTGTCGTACAGAGGCGCGAGAAGAGTGTGCAGCAACGGGTTGTTGACAGTTCACAGAAACTTCCAGACAGAGAAATTGAGACAGGTAAAACGCAGGAGTGCGTGCCAAGGAGTGGCAAGTCTTATTTCTCTATGGTGGTTTCTTTAGTTCCATGGCAGCAGATGATAGAGTTGATGCAAATCTCTCAAGCAAGCATGACGCAGGGAGACTAGAAGCCATGGGTGCGAGCACTATGCACGGAGTTGCATAGTGGTAACTTGTACAGACCGGTGGAAGTTGTCTTGGCAGAAGGGCTAACTGTCAAACATCAGTACAGACGTACAAGTGAGACAGAACCGAACATCAGGGATTGCAGCACAGACAACGGGCGTATGAGATCGCTGGGAAGTTGTTCTGAAGTGCAGAAAGCAAAGGCTGGTTGTTCAGAAATAAGCTCCGAGCAAGAAAAATTGAGGATGTTGATGTGTCAAACTCTGAAGTTTTCTAGTTGCTCCAGTGTTCATCATGCAAGGAGTTGCACGGTAATGCAAGGGTATCCCGAGCAGGGGGTGCAGGACATCCAATCAGGGGGTGTCGGATATCTTGGTTGCGCAAGTTCAAGCATAGCGTCTCAGTGAAAGCATCCGAGACAGGAAGCGTGGAAGAGATCTATAGGAGATAGGAGCAGCGGTTCTCTCCAAATCAGAGAGTGGTGTGAGTTGAGTTGAGGATGTAGGATTCCCTCCTCCTCTTGCATCTCTGGTGTATTATCTCTAGCTTTCAAGGGATGCAGCGTCTCAGTGAGGAGATGCAAACTATATTGAATTTGGGCGTGACAAGATTAGCAGCAATGTGTGTTATGGATCACCTCACATGGGTTGAGGGGGTGATTTGTGGGATATCATCACCCCATGTGAGGGGTGATCCTCCATGTGTTGCAAGGTTGGCCATGTTAGGAAGCCAACACACATGAGCTGGCCATGTGAAGCCAGCACACAAGATAGCTGGCCATATGCAAGGCCAGCCTCTCTATCTCCATTCTGATTGAGTATAAATGGAGGCTAAGGGGAGGGTTTGAGAGAGAGCAGAGCAAGCCACAGAGAGTGAGATATGTGAGGCGGAGAGACCGTCTCCCTCGGTGTGAGCAAGGGAAACGGGTGAGTGGGTGAGTGAGGAGAGTGTGAGTTCCTCCTCTATTGTAATCTTTCTGTAATATCTCCATTGTTATAATGATAACCGGCTACTCTCCCGTGGACGTAGGCATTGAGGCCGAACCACGTTAAATATTGTGTCTCCTTGAGTGGGTGTGTTTTTCTGCATTAAATAATTTCTATAAGGTCTTCGGCGGGATCCCAGATCCCAACAATTTGGAACCCCCCCCTCTCTCTCTCTCTCTCTCTCTCTCTAAAACCTTTGTATCTCTTCTCATTTTCTCTTTAAAACCCTCTAATCTTAGATCCGATCTGTCGTCGTTCGCTGTTGTCCTGCACCACCGTTCATTGAGCAACCAAATCTGCAAATCCATAATCGTCGTAGGTATAACTTGTGTGCAATGGCAAGCCAGAAGCGAGGAAGCTATATTTCAAATCTGTGCCATTCTAAACCATAATTTGAACCAGATTCTCTAATCTCGAAGCTTCTGTGTCGTCTCTCTCTTCTTCTAGATCAAGGTACAGGTCTCATCTCGTAACTATGGTATGGATCTGGCTTTGTGTTCTATGGATCTTGCATATTGTGAAGAAATTACTTCGTATTGCTTGTATTTTGAGTTTTCTTAGTGTGAATCCATGTCCAGGTATGAAGTCACATGCGAATACAGAAGATGATTCTGATGAACTTGTCTTCGGTGCTTCAATTTTTTTATTTAAAAAATAAAAAAAAAATACAATATTACATTTTGGTATGAATCAGATTCAAATTTTTAAAAATAAAAAATACAATATTCAATTTGGTATGAATCAGACTGTTCATTTTGGTATGAATACAATATTCAATTTGGTATGAATTAGATTGTTCATTGGTATGAATACAATATACACTATACAATACAATATTCAATATGAATCAGATTGTTCATTTTGGTATGAATCAAATTGTTCAATTTTTTTAAAATAAAAAATACAATATTAAATTTTTTTTTAAATGTTAATATACAAAGTACAATAATCAACAGATGAACCAGATTGTTCATTTTGGTATGAATCAGATATGACTGTTGAGTATTTTGGTATATAGAGAATTCTTGACCAAACTGTCTAGTTACAAAGATTTCAAAAAACACTAGTTAATTGAGAAGTGAGGTTAAGGAAGGCTTGTTCATTGCAAAATTTGAACAGATAGGGTTTGAGTGTAATATTTGAAAATTTGTAACGATGAAAATATTGAACAGATAAAAAATTGGACATGTAAAATTTGGACTAATAAAAAATTTGCACAGATAAAATTTGGACAAATAGAAAATTTACACATAAAAATTTGAACAGATAGAAAATTTACATAGAAAAAATTGAACAGATAGACAAAAAAAATTGAACCGATAGATATAACTTTGAATAGATAGTCAATTAAAAGTCAAATACATTAAAAAAAAAAAAAAAAAGAAGAAGTCAATATATGACTTTTTACCAAACCAGATAAACAAAATGGGTAACCAATTTTCTCAATGAAATATTTTAGATTAGGAGTCAACTTCTAAATCAATTCCAGGATAATAAATTAACTATTTCGTCCATTAATTGACAAATTAGAATTTTTAAATTTTTTTACTTTAGTGAAATTTGAAAAAATTGTGTCAATTTTTTTCTCTTTTCAAATCCATCTATTTTAAAAGGATCTCATATATATATCTATAATAAAATAAAAATGTAGTTACAAAGACAAAAAAAAAAAAAAAAAAAAAAAGGTTAAAAAAGTAACACAAAAAGTCAACTTATTTTTTTTAACAGACTTTTTTCAAATTATTATTTATTATTTTTAAGTCAGTCGAGTTCACTAGTACTTAAATTTGAAAAGATTTTTTTTTATATAAAAAAAAACTTTACTAAAATGAAAAAAAATGTTCAAAAGAAAAAAGAGCTAAACGCAACCTTAAAATTGATTCAATTAGAATTGTTTCAACCTAGTGGACACATAAACAAACTACAGTATAATTTGCGATAAGAAAACTGTTTGCTAAAATGCAATTGAAATTCAAAATTATCAACAAATATACATGTATTGAAAGTGCTTGTCTAGTCTCCAATGAAAGTTGTTGAAAATCTAATATAAAATTATTGAACAATATTGTTCAGAGCTTCCTATCACAGATCATAATCTCCTAACCTCTCTCAATCTCAAACTCAATCTGTAGACTAAGCAACTCCATAAACTGAATCTGGGCAATCTCCAAAACGACTTCGTTCTGGTCAACATCTGCTTGCTATTTCGGTACTCATAGTCTCTTGTTGGTATTTTTCCATAATAATATAAGAAAATATATAAAATGAATTAAATAGAAATGACAAAGCAATTATTATTATTATTTTTTATTATTAAAGAATGAAATATACAATAAACTATAGAACTAAAAAAATACAAGAATAAACTAGATTACATCGTAGAACATATTATAAGATGGATTTGAATAGACATATAAAATAATATACGAGAAATTATTTAAATTTAAAACTTTGAAGAACAAAAGATAAATGATACAAACTGAAGTCTGTGTGATACTAGAGTTTCCTTAAAACAGATTCACCGCCTCTTGGTGGGTGTTGGAGGTACGTCGGCGTCTATCTCATATGATACGATGGTCGAAACCAACTAATGCAAAAGCACATTTTGAATAGTTTCGGCGAACTTGACAATGGTTGCACTCTCTCTAACAAGAACTAAAGAAGGGCTAGCAAAAGAAGATAAGAAAAAAATTTCTTTGGAGAAAAAAAACATCTCCAACTTTTTATCTCAAAACACCATCTCTATTTTCTATCAAAAATCTTTCCAAAACTCTTCTTCCAAGTTAAAGGGGAAATGCCTCCATTTATATAAGTAGGGGAATATCTAGCCATGAAGGCTATACATCAATAGGGCCATCAAATGCCATTAACCAAGGCCATCAACTCTAGCCATTAGGGTTAGAGTTACAAAGGTTGAAAACTTATGGCCACTAATATGGTCGTCAACTCCATCATCAAACAAAGGTCTAAACATCTCATGTAATAACCCGACTATTTCATATATTGCCTATGTTCTAATTCCTTCAATATCTATGTTATTAAATATGTGATTATATGCGTTATGTGAAATTCCATGTTTAAATGTGTGAATTATGTGTTTATGAGATTGTATCTGTCAGTTATAAGAAAATCTGTTGAAATTACGACCTTCGGACTGCAAATTGAAAGCCTTAGAGACCCGATAAGCAGGAATTGACTTTATAGTTATGATTCTTATGATTTTTAGGACATAATATGAAGTTTTATAAAAATTTGATTTGTAATGAATTAATTAGCTTTATTTGACTAAAACTCCTAGAGCTAACACTTTGAAACTGAAATTGACGACTTTAATGAGTTCAGGAACCGAAATTGAGTACATGATTACGCTAATGGGAATTTTTAGAGCCATTTGGAGAGTTTAATTGAAAATTAATTTCTTCTGCTCCGTTAAGTGATGTTGGTTGGCCTATTTATATGTGTGTATATATATATATATATGATTTGCTATATACATAAGTGAACTCATCTTTGGCCTTGGGAGAGGAAAAGAAAACGTGGAGAGAAAAGAGGGAAGAAGAGAGCCAATATAGAAGCTTGAAGCTTGGAAATTTAAGGAGGAAATCAAGAATATAGCTCAAGGTAAGTATAAATCTACTAGAATCCTCTTAATCTTTCTTCAATTACTTGGAATCAAGCCCTAAGATGAAGCTTTTACCCTTAATCAAGTTAGGGTTATGGATTAAGATTTTGATTGAGCACCTCTCATGATATTATCATAGACTCCTTACATTTCTTTGAGTTAAGAGTTGATTCCTTTATTGTTAGTTTAATTTGGGTTAGATTGTGAGAAATTGTGATATAATCTTGAGTTTTTACATGTTGAAATATATATATATATATATATATGTATGTATGTATGTATGTATGTATCTAACATGGAAAGATGGAATATATGAAGGAATCATGGAAATCAATTTCTACATGTCAAATTAAAAGAAGTTTTGATCTACTTTAGCTTGGATTTTACTCTTATTATGATCATGTCATGTTTTTGAAGAGAGATTGCTTGAATTAGAACATTCGCTTGCCTTTGGAAAGGTTGATTTTGATGAAGTTTCGGGCTGCTCAAACAGAGCATACGACCGCACCTACGGGGCCCATGGTTGCATGTGCGGGATGCAAAGCTGCAAATGTGGGGCTCACAGCCACACATGCGGAAAACAGGGAGACAGACTGGAGCTTACTGTAATAAAAGCACGTACGGGCCGCACGTGCGGTGCACCTTCCCACATGTGTGATGGGAGACTTCCGTACGTGCGGCCCATGGGGGGAAATTTTTGTTAACTTTCTTACATCTGTTTGTCCCTCTAAAACTATTAATATGTACATTTGATCCTTTTGAAATGCTTACAATTTAACACGAATTAACGAATTAGACATTGAATAGAAAGAGAAAGCTAAAAGAAAGTGACTTACTTGTGAGTTGTATGTTATGTGTAGGTCACGTATAGGAAGAGGGTGTTGTTCATCCACATCACTGTGACTAATAATATTATGAAGATATGTTCATTTATATTTAATTTGATACATAACTGTTGTGATGTTTTGGAGTTATGTTTTATGTGAATGAATGAGTTACAAGACCTATGATACGAAATATGAATTATTTATAATATGATATGGTGGGCCCAAGGCCGTTCCATTTATCCGTTCTGTTTATACTATGACATGATATGAGTTGTTCGGTCTTTAAGACCTATTGATTTCTGGTATGAAACAAAGTGTTGTACAGAACTAAGTGTTACAGTGGGAGTCACCTCTAGAGTTCGTATGAGTCACCTCATGGGTCCATACATACATGAATTGGGCCCAAGGAGAGATGGAGACATGTCGATGTTCCATCTACTCCCTGATAAGATACAGTGATACGATATGATACATTTAGACCTAAGGCCGTTTTGATATATGATTGGGCCTGAGGCCATTTTGATATATGTGGGCCCGAGACTGTTTTATTATATGGTGGGCCCAAGGCCGTTTTGTAAATATGATTATGACTAATGTTGTGAATGATGTAATTGTGGAAGAGTATTGTGTTATGCTTCTTTTAAATCTATATTATTTACTTGTTTCACTTTACTTTATTATTACTCATTGAGCTTTACTCACTCCGTATTTTATATGTATGTAGGTGATCAACCCGGAAACCAACCTTAGGTCAACCTCAGAAGTTCTTTTGTGAACCTATGTCAAGCCACCCAAGATGCACCTCTGTGTCGAGGCTTTAACCTTGTATTGTTAGAATTTTGTATTTTATGAATTTATGCATATGTGTGTGGGATCTATATAAGCTTTGTTATTGTAATTGTGAATATAAAAAGTGTAGTTAAATGTTTTAATTATTTTAGTCATCATGTATGCACAAGCTCAATGGACAATTTATTTTTATTTTGCATCCACTTGAAGCCCCAATATGATTTTAATATTGTGAAATTTTGTTTCTGAGGCCTGAATACAGGCCGGTCATGACCTAAACTTTTAGGGGCGGGTTTGGGTCGTGACATCCCATGTGCTTAATATATACAAATAAATATAATGATGGTTGAATAAACCAACTAGATGGATCACAAAATGGACATTAATGTTTGGGTCAGAACCCGATCCAAGCCTAATTCTCAAACATATGCACAAGCTAAGCCCAACACAACATAGCTTAGCCCAAGCTCCAAACCCAACATGTGCACAAACACAAGCCTAGGCCAAGTCTAAACTGAGACTAAATCCAAATCTAAATCCAACTTTATTGATACCCATTTTATGAGACAATTTTCATTTACAACTCAATGGTTTTGGCTCATTATTTTTGTACAACAATTTTCTCACTTAAGATAATACAAAACTACTCAGACCCACCTCAACTGGCGCTTGGGTCCTACTTTAATTTCCAATTAAAGTTGTTGAAAAACCATTATTTTCCAATAATCTCCCACATGAATAAAATTGGTCGAATAAAAAAAATGACAATGCTTTACAACAAAGACTTAGAGAGAGAGAGAGAGCACATGGAATAACCCCACATCAAAAAAGATAGTTGTTGCCCCTGAATCTTTCGTAGTGAAAGCCTATTGGATTTACTGGCTGACTAGTGATTGTGATGTCTTGAACTGTTTTGCCATTTGTGTAAACCGAGATAATAGACCTCACACAGAAGTTACTTCAACCATTATTCTTGTTCTCACTGGTGTGTCCGGTTTGGCCCTGGAACACTAACTTGGTTCAAAGAGTATTTTTAAAGAATTCAGCCTTGTCAATTCTTAAAGAAAGCGGCCCCACTTTGCACTCACATAGGTGACCTATATAAGGTATCTCGTTATACCATGGTTGACTATTTACAATACTTGGGTCATTAAAAGCATCAGCTTAACCTTCCACCCCATAGGGTATCACTGTATAAAGGAATGTGTAGGAGGATTTCTCTCCACAGTGACTCACCAATTACACAAAATTAGGTTGTCCCTTTGAACCTAGATATTGAGATCTCCAGTCAATTAGATTGGGTTTTCCATTCCGGTAACATTCGCTAAAGGCCTTAACCTCATTCCTCTTGACGACTTCTTACTAACTCTCGATACTAACTCTCGATTTAACCCTTAGGTTAACGGATTCGTAATATTGTGCTTAGACTTTATATAGTCTATAGTGACAACACAAGAGAGTAGTTGTCGTATGGAATTATGTCTTCGACGAAAATGTCTAGACCTTCCATTATACGTATTACTTTGTGCCCTACCAATACTTGATTGGTTGTCACAAAGTATACAAAATTGCTAGCACAAGTTTTGATTAACATGGAATATCCTTAAGAAAACTGCAAAACCATTCAGCTACTTTGGTAGCTTCATCTAAATCATTGAACTCCGATTCCATCATTGATCTCGTGATACACATCTGCTTGGAAGATTTCCAAGACACAATTGTACCTCCAATAGTGAAAACAAATCCACTAATGGATTTGTACTCCTTATGTTAGATATCCTGACTTCATTGTAAGTACCTTAATAACTGCGTATCTATTTATCCTACTAACTAAGTAGGTTATACATGGCCTCGTACACCTCATCAAATACTTCAAACTTCCAATGACCCGAGAATATTTCAATATTCTTGGTCAAATGGAGACTAAAGCTACCGAAGTCTTTAACATGCTTGTATCTAACTTATACTTCTCAAGACTCTTATCAAAATAATGAGACTAAGAAAGTATACTACCAGCAAATGGTCAAGAAATTTTAATTCTCAGATATACATCTACAAGGCCTATTTCAAACTTAGAGTTTAACATCCACTTGGTAGTATTGAACATCTTCTCATAACTACCAACAATGAGTATGTCACCTACACATAGGTACAAAATGACATATATTATTGTCAATGTCTTTGACATAAACACATTTTGTCAATACCCACTTGACAATATAGTGTAGTTAAATTTCTCATGCCATTGTTTCTTTGCTTATTTCAAAAATTCATACAAGATCTTTAAACAATTCCTTTCGTCACAATGATTATGAGACTCTCATAATCATATCACAAAAAAAACATATTCCTAGACCGTCATTAACGGAATTAAGTTTTTCTCAAATTCAAGGCACCAAAATAAGTTTGGTCCAACATGTCACTTTGAAGTCAATAGCCTTACTATTTGGAATCACAAACCTAGTGATCAATAATTGTAGACACCCCATTTTTGACCGTCCTCAAGTCCATGTTTGGCACTACTTTTTTCAAAAAAATCTGTTTTCTCAAACGATTTGCCAGATTTGGACTCTTTGGTTCAGATTAAGAACCGTGACACAAATCGAGAGTCCGAACTGTAGTAGCATCGAGGTCCTTCCGCGGGCGCCGTCTACAATAATCTACTATTCGGAACTTCATATCATGGCCAGTAATCTTGTCACTATGAATCACTAATTTCTCATCATGTAATCAGTAGACTCTCCACTACTAGGAATCGCAATGTTTTGACATGTGATCAATAGTCACTCCACTACTAGGAATCACAATGTCTTGACATAGGATCAGTAGACCATTTTATTACTAGGAATCATCATGTCTTAACATATGATCAGTAGACTCTTTTACTACTAGGAACCATCATGTCTTAACATATGATCAGTAATCTATTTATTACTAGGAACCACAATCTCATTATTGTGTAGCTAGTGGTCTAACACTTCCTAGGAACCACCAGTTTCTTATCTTTGTGATCAGTGATGTTGCACTTACTAGGAGCCACCAATTTAAGAACATATTTAGAATTATAAAAATTTTAAAAATATATTCACCCACCCCAACAGGTTGTCTCATCTTTACTTTCAAGCAAAGTCACATATCAATTATACATGCTATAATTGACACAATGATAACATACTAATTGCCTCTAATAAATTCAGAGATATCATCATGCAATCTTATGATTGCCTTTAATCACATTTGATTCTATAGATCTTCCTCTAAGAACCTCGCAAGATTTAAGGTTGTCAGGTGAAACAACATTTCCTGTTGTCACCTCTTGAATCCATTTTTGAAAAATCACAACAAAATTTCACTTTTCTATTTTTTCAGAAACTAAACTTAATACTAGAAAATCCCAAAGTCTGAAATTTAATTCAAAAATGATCTCACCACTTACCCTAGAATTGAACATGGTTAGGAAAGTTTCTAGGAAGACTGGAGGGGTCACATCGGTCCCACTTAACACCAAGTATTTAGATTAAGTGTATTTTAAAAAATAAAACAAAATTATGTAAAATATTTTAAAAAATCACTAAAAATAAAAAAATATGAAAAACAAAAACTCAATTTTTTGAAAAGTGAATTCAATTTTCTGAAACCAAACATGGTGAATACAATTCAAATTTTCAAAATGTACAATATCTTTTTTAAGGTTTTTTACCCTTTAGGTATGGTATGGGAGCTTCTATTTACACACTGGTATTTATCTCAGTACACAATTTGTATTGTTTGGATATCAATTTCTGAACAAAATACAAATGTTCAGATATCAACAATCGAACGAAATTTTTGTTCGAACAAATTTTTTTTTCTTTCAGAAGTTGACATTCGAAGGTAATTTTTTTGATAAATCTTATTTCTAAGTGTTTTATTCTATCTAACCCATCTTATTTTTTAGTATTCTATTAGGTCCTATTTAATATAATATGACCAAATCACCCTTCTAATTTTTTGTGAATGTTTCCATTTTGAAATCAGTACACAATAAAAAATAACAATAGTCTTTCATTCCATAGAGAAATCTCTTACATTTTCAAAATCCTAAATCATCTACCTTCTAAAAATCTCTCATTAAATGTTGATGGGAGCTTTTACATTACAAATGTATGCTAGTCAATAACATCCCCTCATAGAACAATACACACACTTAATGTTACATGAGTGTGTGAACATTAATATTGGATGCAATTACCTATTTGTATTACAAAATTAATGTGAATATTCACATTTCTATGTACACAATACATTTGTGACCAAAATAACACATTGCTGTTTATATTAGTATGACTATTTTTTAATGTAAATATTGACACATTGTTGTTTGCGCTTGTATGACTATTCCTGAATGTGAATATTAATATTGATTAATGATGTGCTCACATTACAATGTGAACATTCACATTGTAATGAGAAAACATGAAACAAAATTAAAAAAAAAGAAGTGAAAATCGACTATTTCGATTGTTCAATGGTAACAAAAATGATTATTTAACCAACAAGCACAGTAACCAAAACAACAAATATACAACTAACATTCAAAAAAATAAAACTCATACCAAAATACAATGTGAATGTTTATAATTTGCAATTAATATACAACTAGTCTTAAAAAAAATTAAACTTATACTAATGTGAACATTCACACTACAACATGAAAATATGAAAACAAAATTGAAAAGAGTGAATCGATTATTCCGATTATTCAATGGTAACAAAAATAATTGTTCAACCAACAAGTATATTGAGAAACAATATGCAACAAATCATCAGACAATATAAAAAAAACATTAAATAGTTCATATATATTGATGCACATTTTTAGAAAACTCTGTTGGGAAAAACTACTCGCATTACATAATTTCACATTGCATATCGCAAAATTATGAGATGAACAAAACAAACCTTCAATCCTAGGAAAAATAACAAGCTGAATAAAATACAGATAAAATATAAAATGGTTAAAGAAAGCAAACCGAAGCTTGTGCGATACCACAGTCTCCTTAAAATAGATTCGCCGCCTCACCGTTGGGTGCTGGAGGTACGTCGGCGTCTACTTCCCAGGATACGACGGTTTTTACCAGCTACAACAGAAGCACCTTCTGAT